TTTAAATGAGTAGGTTGAAGCATGCAAGTATTCATATGAAGTTTGCTCGCACATATGTTGCCAATCCTGTAGCGGAAATAAGCATATGAAGCTATAGTCTAACATTTAATAATGACATTTATACGCTTGAATTTCAGCATCAATTGAAGCATTTATACTTAATTTAATTGGGCAGACCCCTAAGATAAGCCATGATCAAGCTTAGCCTTTATGATATTTCACACTTAAGTCAAACTTAACTTTAATTTATGATATTTTACAGTTAAGTCAAGCTTAGCTCTCCCTTTATAATGTATCATACTCTGGTTAAGCTTAGCTCCCAATTTATGATGTTTCATATTCAAGTCAATTTGACCCGCAACCCGCAAATTTATGTTTTCAAAAAGGTTAAATAAAAATTTATTTGCATTATGACATATATCTTTATTTGATCATCTTCAATATGACTGAATTTGAAGTCAAATAGAAGCCTAATCCCATGAATTGGCAGGTTATCAAATCATAAACCCTACATAAATTCCATGGCATTTGACTGTTCTTTCGAAATTACTTGATTTATGATCTATGTGATTATTTTGTATTTTGTACCTTATATTTTTATGTCGTTTTAAAGTCCAAACAATGCAAGTTTTTAAATTATTTTGCAAGTCAAACTTTTCAAGATATTAAGCTATTTACAAATTTAAATCACCCAAAAATTTGGCAGCCTCCCGATGTCAACCCCCAGTAGGGTATCCCGGAGAATGTCAGTCTTACCTTCTTCAAAAACTCGCTAGTCAGCGTCATGATACACTGTGACAGGAGAGCAAAAAAATAGTATTTAACCTGCAGTCTTAAAAGATGCAACGGGTCTTCAATGTACTTGCAAAATGATCAAATCGCAGACAAGCATTTTATCGAGCGGTACTTCATTTTCCTCAAACTATAATTAATTCTCAAAGAAGGGAACTCGTGTTTCCTAGGATTGGTATTAAAACAAATAATTTTATAAAAATTTGCCAAAAGAGTCCACATTTTCCCTGAACGGTGCTTTAATTCCTAAGGACGGGTACTAGTGCTTCCTCGAATAGACGTTTTTTTTTAAGTTGTCGACTCTCATTTTATACATTTTCAAACGAGATCACCGACAACTGGGTACCTTTTAACTTTATTGAAAGACCATGACAATCCCGACCAGGAATAAACTAGAATTCTTTTAACTTTATTGAAAGATCATGACAATCCTGACCAGGAATAAACTGGAATTCATAATTCTGAAGAAGCTTATAACGATTTATAACATCGTTCAAAATCTTTTTCAAAGTGTGCCCCATGTGAAACTTTCCATTAGCATAATGCGTCCCATCCTATAGAATGAAAGTTGCCCATGTATTCTTCTCAACGACCCATTTGAAGACATCATTTTCCTCCCAAAATTATTTAATCTCGATCTCCCTCACTATCGAATCTGCGCGCATTCCTAAAGTGGTCTTTGGAAGATCGACGGTGTGCTAGTAACTCCAAGGCTTGCTTTGATCCTTTAGATGACTTTTTCGCTAAGATCACTAGTCCATGAGCCCTCTATTTCAACCTAGAAGGGAAAAATTCTCTAAATTCAATATGGTAAAGCCCAAAGGGTAAAAGTACGTTCAAAAAAGAAGTTTTGTCGAAGGATAATTAATTCCTTCGAGATAATGCCTTTTACGATGGTTTCGGGTAGAAGCGAAGCCGAGCAGAAGGAGAAACAATGGATTTTTAAATATTTCTAAGCCGCAATCCCAGTGTTGATAAAAGGGCAACGGAAAGAAGGGAAGGATGAGAGTTTCAAGTCTCTGTATGTTGTAATCCCGGAGTTGCTTTCCCGACTAGCACAAATCCCGACCGTATTGCGAGGGATTCGAACGAGAGAAGGGTTGGCAAGGGTTTCCAACATGAGAGAGGTTGGAGGAGTGGTTTCTGTAGCAATTCACGAATGGGAGAGGGCTTCTGTTGGTTTCATGCGATTCATCTAGGGCTTGCAAGGACGGAGAGAAGGATGAGGGATTTGGCTTCAATCATTTGCTTTTTTCCCTGCCTTTTTCTGTATTCATGAGAGCCTCTCCTTTTTTTATTTTTATTATTTTATAAAAGCCCTTCTCCGGGAGCAGTTATACCAAGATTCAAAAAAGCAGTAGAATAGAAAAGTGAGAAGAGTTAATAATTTAATTTAATTTAATTATTTTTTTTCTTTTTCTTTTTTTAAAATTTTAAGGATCAACAGTTAATAAGTACTAATTTTAGCGCAAACAAAAGGTCACCTTCAATATATGAATAGCAAGCATGCTTCTTTAATCTCAAACAATAATTTATAAGTCACCAAAATTTAGAACTTCATAAGAAAGCACCAAATGAATATAAATTTTAAAAAATAAAAACTCACACATTATTTTATATATATATTTGGGCCTCTGCCAGGCAGACAATCTTGAAATCCTATCGCTTGTTGTTTAATTCTATGGAAGTATATGCTATTATAGTTCTTCTTGTTGTTGAAGATGGTCATGCTGCCCACCATGCTAATTCAAAACTCCTTTAGATGACTTTTTTGCTAAGACCCTAAACAGTAAAACCATATAGTTCCAATTTCAACCATGAACCTCTCGCACTGTACAAGTGCAATATCTTCCAAAATAATATATAAGTGCTCACGGTCAAGGCAATCGAGAGTGCAAAACGAGTCCGAATATACCTCCAACAGGCTCACGGGTGGGGTCAAGAAAGAGCACAGCCAAGTCCCAACATAGGCTCACGGTTTGAGACAAGAAAGGGTACAACTGATCCAGCTCATGGGTAAGGACAACAGAGAAGGATAGCCACCAGCCCAAAACTAACTCTTCAAAGTCCCAAATATAAAAGGGGAATGCCATGTAATAGGAGGCCAGCAGTTGGTTTCATAGGTGGTACCCGACAACAGATCGTTGACTCCACAATTGCATGTACACTCAAAACTAACATCGAACTCAGAGGTGATACGACGAAGAGCTTGGAGCTAGCATTGTGGGCAGCACGATCATCTTCAACAACAGAATATGTCTACACCAGCTAAATCATTCATTAGAAATTAAAACAATAATCCATAGAATTTTGAGGTTATCTGCCTAGTGCGACATAAATCCTCAACCTTTCTTTAGGCCTTTGTACAACTCTGTTGTACAATATAAGCTCTAACTTGTGTTAAGATTCTAAGGTTGTCGTTCGTCACGACCTAAATCCTCACATCTTTCAAGTTTTTTGTGTGATCGTTTCACACAAGTATAAGCCCTAAATAAATAAAATTGGCAGGATAAACACTTAAAGTAATTTTCCTCTAAACTGAAGTCAAACCATAGGGTAGCTTGGAAAGTTACTGAGGTTCTTCTCCGGATCTATGACATCCCCTAGTTTTTAGGGAACTTGTCGGTTTATATAAAAAATGGTTCGCAGATTAAACGTATATCATTCTATCTTTTTGACCTCTTTAAATATAATATTTCCTGATTTTTATCGAGAGTTTTCTTAGGTGACTTCAATCATTTAAAATGTAATTAACTATAGGAGTTTGCTTTTATAGAAAGATTTTTCGAACCAAGCTTAATATAAACCCTATTTAATTCTTTGTATTAAATAGGTGAACTTGTCGGTAAATAAATAGTTTTGCAGACCAAACGGATGTCATATATTTCTTAGTTTATTTGATCGAGTCTCATCTTCAAGTCTTGTGTTTATCATTTGGAATAAATACATGGTTTGAGGTATAATGCTCTTTCATTTAAACTATGAAAAATATGAGGTCGGTTTGATTTCATATTTTTCTAATATATGGCGACGGGACTTCGATCCGACGGCCGACAGCTTCTAACTGGCAACTCCTCCAACCAAAAATAATGTCAACAGCTTCTGAAGTCAAATGCACACTGGTGGTTGAGCGGAATAATATATCATCATACGACATCAGGACTCAACTTAGGGGATCGATGAACCATAGGATGATAATATTATTCACTGACACAAGACTAACGGAGGATCCGTACTTTCGTAGGTTGTTGACAGCCCTACGTCCGACGGCGTGATCGACTCGCGGATAACCAACTATACTTTTCAAAATTCGTAAGAAATAGATTTGGTAAGAACAGATATAATATTTATAGAAATATCTTCACTACAAGATTGATACAACTTTCTTTTGTATGCCTGAAATTCATATGCATGCTAAAATAGAAATTTTAAATATATTGCAACTTGGTTGTCCACTTGTCGATTACTAGTACCGGGCTAATAGTACCAGGCTAAAGAGTACCCTCATAAGTTAGGTTTAGTAGGATACCCTTCTAGTTGAGTGACGGGCTCTATACATCCGGGTGACCGATAGTAGCTTTCGACGTCCCTCCAAAGAAGTGTCATAACTCAGTTTATTGCTTCTTTAGCAAGGATATCTTTCTAGCAAGTAGAATTTTATGTCCAGGTCGATTATATCAAAGTTCCACGCTCCGATCTATTGTCTAAACTTATCGTATATAATTAAATGTTATTATATTATTACCAAAGAAAATTTTTTTTCAATCTAGGTGTTATGGCTATTGATGATCTTATTGGATTTCATCCAGAAGAAAGGGTTAGGCTTTATAATCTTCTAATCATACAATGCACACAATGATGTAAATGGGACAAAAAACATGCCCAATTTATTGGGGAAGAGATGCTTGAAAAAAAAATCATTTTTTTATGATTCAGAGAAGTATAGTTTGAAGGAAAAGAGATGCTTGACAAAGTGGACATGGAGGTTTTTACGGAAAGGTGCAGAAGAAAAGTAATACATCAACTTTTGAAAACAGATATTCCCATTCCACAAAACACTATGCCAACCTAGCAACAAAATATCATAAAAGAATTCAAATGGACCCGCACGTTGCTAACATAGCAACCGAAAATCATAAAAGCATTCAGATGGACCAATAAGTACAATCAGGTAAATTGACCGAGAACCATACAAAATTAAAAATTACCTTTTATAAGAAGACTTCAGTTGTAAATGTGGGCGAAAAGTTTCTGAAATATATTGGTCAAGTGAAAGAGGGAAGGGAAGACTGGAGTCCAAATCCCAAACTAGGTGAGAAGCACAGCCTTCTTCAGCATTTTTCTGATTTCCAATCTACAGGCCATTCAACAAAAAAAAAACTATGCCAACATATTGACTAAACAAAGCTTTTCTTTAAAATTTTAGGAATTGTTCGGATGAAAAGAACTTGAATGAAAGAAAGTAAGAAAAAGGTTGAAGAGCATAAATCAATGGCTGTAGAATAATAATCAACCAATAAATTATTGTATTAACACTTCCTTTCCTTCACTTCAATCCAACGTTGGCATTACTATGTACTACTGAATAACTAGCGGTAAGAAAAATGTGAATCATCAAATACTTCAGATTTACCTGAATGCAGATCACATGATAATCCCAAATGACCAAACCATCAGATGATTTGCTTGCTTTCTGATTCCATAGAGGTATCTTAAAAATGAGATCGAAAATAATCACCATAACTTCAAGATTAAAGAGAATGTTTTCAGCAACAAAAAAAATATGCAGTTCATAATCCATCTTATGATAAACTACTGAATATATATGCCTGCAGCGAGTTCAGCGTAGAATACATTTATATCATAGCATATCATAAAAAAAAATCCCAAAAGACGTAGTGCACGGTAACACTATTTTAGTATACAAATATTTCAATTTTTGACTTAAATATCGACAAATAAAATGCATAGTAAGGAGAAGTCAAAAAAACTATACAGCAGTTTCTAAAAAAAAAGTTTTTCAAAAATGTTGGTATCTATTTATAAAAAAGTAGATTTTAATTTTTAGTTGATCAGAAATAGATGGACTTGAATGTTAACAAAAAAGAAACTTAGTTTGCAACTCGTCATTTAACTAAACCAACACAGCTAACTAAAGGTAAATGTTCTTTAACATTCAGTTTAATCATTCATATTAACGTTTTTAATAAAAGAAAATAAACTAAAGCAAAGGAGTTTAGCTAATTAGGCATTGTTGCATCAAGCAAATATGTTATTCATAACGTAAAAAGCAAAAACAAGCACAAGTAATCAAATAGATGATTATTCTTTAGGTGAGATTCAAAATCAGATTATTGATACTAAAACCTATGAAAAACCTTATATACTTCATCTAGCCAAGTACCAACCCTTCCTTTCACCCAGGCCAAAAATAGAGAAACCCTAGAATCAAGGAGCAAGGAGACTTACCCCATCCAAACTACATGATTAGAAAAAGCCCAAAATTTAGTTTCCATCAAAAAGGAAAGAGAAACCAAACGTTGATTCCTAACCGACTAATGGTTTTCAAAACTAATTGGAAGTTTCTTTTGCATGCTGGTTTCTAGTCTCAAGGAAACAGATGAATGAAATGATAGCAGCCTTTTCATCTTCAGAAGGTGCTGGTTTCTAGTCTCAAGGAAACAGATGACTTGAATGAAATGATAGCAGCCTTTTCATCTTCAGAAGAGTAGATGAAACTCAAATCAATACTATTACAAGAGCCCATAAAGTGAGCAAAAGGTCCAAACCATGGCATCAAATGTAGATGCAGAATGAAAAAATTAAGGAAAATGGCATGCTTGTGGGGCTATCAAAAAAGCTCGTTGTTCGCGAACAAATCGTGTTCGGCTCGTTAAGCCACTCGTGTTTGGCCCGTCTGTTAAGTAAACGAGCCGAACATGAAGAATTTTTTTAAGCCCGAATTATAAACGAGCCAAAAAACAGCTTTTTGTTAGCTCGTGTTCGGCTCGTTTTGAGCTCAAAATAAAAAAATAATATAATTATTTATATAATAATATATTATATATATTTATATCCAAGTTTATATTAGAATAGCTTGTTTGGTAATGTGGGTAATGTGGGTACACTGAAAAGAAGGCAATGCACTAGCCAAGTTTCCATGGAACAAGCCAAGAATAGATTTTACATACCTGCATGAGAGAACAAAATGCTCTATAATCATGCTTATTCATGTTTCTTATTAGTGATTTATCCTTCTATGAATGAAAGTTGTTGAACTCTTATTAACTCTTACATCCGATATCTCACTCAAAATCAACCCTTAATTGACTAAAACCATTGACTCACAAAACATATTTCAAACAATCACAATAAGAAAGGTTTGCAACTAGTCCATAAGTAATTAGTATTTACAAGTGTTCATAACAATTTGATGAAAACTGCATGAAGAATTACATATACAGAAAAAAGCAAAAGCTTCCTTGAGCCAATGAAGACATAGGAAATTAACAAGGATTGTCCATTTATGCTCTTGGTACATAGACGCCTACGTCTCTAAAATATGAAAATGCATAAATAGACAAACTCAACATAACAGGTTATACACGCAATAATATCGAATGAAAAAAAGGCAAAAAAAAAGACATAAGAGAGATCATAAAGAAAAAAACTGGTGTGCCTTCTGATGCAGCTACCTTGGAAAATACATACTAAACCTACCTTTTTATCATCATTGGATATGAACACAACAAAAAGATCAAGCGCAGTAGGATCAGCAAGCCCAATCAAGCCAAGTTTCTTGCAGAGAAAGTATACATTTTCCTCGCTATAAAGAAACATCAAAAACAGGTTGTTCAGAAAGAAGGCTTAAACTTCATCAAATAATGTTATTTGGTGCTGCAAAAGATAAAAGTGTCTTTATTCTCATAGAGAAATGCGACTTATCCCAAAAACCATGGAGTGGGTGCACGTCTGGTATAAGAATTTTGTGTGTTCCTAGCACAAAGCAAGCCCATGGAATAGCAAGATTGCTAAAAACAATGCAGAAGTAATGTATTACCAAAACAAAACCTATACATGGGATTTCATAAAGTTAAAGTGAATTGTGAAACAGCCTAAACAAGGTTTGAAGAATTCCGTCATCACCATGGAATGGGTGCATGTCTGGTATAAGAATTTGTGTGTTTCTAGCACAAAGCAAGCACATGGAATAGCAAGATTGCTAAAAACAATGCAGAAGTAATGTATTACCAAAACAAAATCCTGTACATGGGACTTCATAAAGTTAATGTGAATTGTGAAACAACCTAAACAAGGTCAAAAATCCCAATGGGCATTGAAGAAGAAAAACAAAGGGAATTCCCTCATCACCATGTCACAAAAACTAGAGGTCCAGCATTTCATCACCACAGGACACATAACCATTCATGTCAAACACATATGGAACCTGAATCAAGAAATTTGATGACATTTGCCCATATAATTTCATTTGATGGCGTAGCATAAGATAGCCTGGTATATGGATTGTGCATTTTTCAAATATGATAAGCTAAAATATTATTTGTCTATTGTGTTTTCTCTTTTATTGGTGAAGGTTACTAATACGTAAGGTTTATTTCTCTATTCCAAGACACATATTAGAATAAATTATAATTGGTTAGAGGAAAGTGAACTTCATATTCAGATCACTCTATGTATATATTCTTCATCACCTCTCTTTCTAGTTAGTTTCCACTTTCGCCAAGCTTCCTCTTTTTTGTCCTTTCTCTTTCTCATTCTCTTGCACTTCCATACCCCTAACAAGGAACATCAACAAAAGCTTCTCCAAAAAAATTTAAATAGCTGAAACAGCAGATTTAATGAAAGCAAACTTGAATTGGCTCAAAGCCCAAGCTGATTAGCATAATTCTGCATAAAAGCCATGATGAATGCAATAAAACTGAATCAACCCAATGCATTTGTATACTTTCAAAAATTCCAAAAATGTGTTATGCAAATAGCTGCCTGGCATAGCTTTATTTGAAAAAGTGGTAAAAAGTATTCCGTTCCAAATATACGAAGACTATACACATAAAAGGGTTAAATATGCAGGGCAGGGTGGGAGGCGAGGAATGCAAGTGGATGAGGGAAAAGAAACTTCAATTATTTATGAGCTGCATTTTGATGATAGAAAAGGGCGTAAATTAGCATTAAATAAAAAGTTTACATTATCACTTCAAGTACACTCAGCCTGCATTTCTTGGCAACATTTTGACACTTGCATTTAAATTTTAAGATAATAGACATAACTAAGGGGATATATAACCTCTAATTGTTAACATGAGATTCATTACAAGGAAATATGTACGTGTTAAAAGATGAAATGAAGAAACCTGTTTTTCTTAGTTATGTTGTGCTATGTAGTGTGCAAAAAGAAAAAAAGATGGCAATTGTTTGAATAGATAACTAAATAATTTACAGTGTGTTCTGAGAAATCGTGAAGTTATGAAAAAGCAGTGCCTGAAAACATTCTTATTGGTTGAATAAGAATGTTGAACAAGCTTCTTTTGAAATAAACTCCTCGAAGTCTCCTAAATTACAGTTATACCCTTTTTAATCTTCCCCCAAAAAAAAATTAATAAGTAGAAATTCTTATGTACTCCATTTGAATTAAAGTGGAAAAATTTTCTTTTTTTTTTCTTTTATTGTACAACTGTGGCAAAGTGAGAAAATCTAGACAAACAATAATTTCATGTGAGCCTCGTTTAAATTTTTATAAAGATTTCTCATCCTTTCTTTGCTCTCCATTTTCATTTTTCCCAACAATTACCTCAATTTTCCATCAAATGTGCCATGTGTTCATCTTCTTCGAACAGTAACCATTTGCCCAAAACTCCATCTTTATGCATACTCTTATCTTCTTTCTTCATTTCAACAATAATTTTAAGAAACAACAATCTTCCTTAGCAACCCTGCGCACACTTTATCTTATTAAGGTTCAATTTATCTTAAAAAAAAAAATACACTTTCGATTTAAAGTGCTTGCCATCAATCGTACAGCTGCGATTCCTTCCTATCATCGCCTTATTGAAAAATCCATAGGTAAGAATGTTGAGACAATCAGCCCTTCAAAAATATCTAACAGCTTTTTAGTTACTGAAATCCAGGATTTCACATTTTGCTAGTGCAATTAGGGTTTCTGATGTTTTGAACAAACAAAGAAAAAAATTGCCGCACAACAGCCGTAACTACACGAGCATAGTAATTTCCGATGGTTTCCCAATCGTCACATGTGTCTCCCAATTACAGAGGATTTGAGCTTCTGGTAGGAAAATATTGAAAGAAGAACTCCAGTGGCTTGAGATAAAAAAAAAAAAAAAAAGAAAGAATAAGTGTAAAAGAGACGACGAAGGATACCAGTAATAAGGAGTGTGCGTGAAAGAAGAGAGCTTCGGGGAGGAATTCCAGCCCGCAGTAGAC